CAAGAAAAATTGGTGAGACTGATATGCAACAACTATGCATGTGAACTGAAAAAAAAAACTTGTTGAGAAAAAAAAGTTCACATGCAGAGTTGCATAAATAGATGAAAACAGAAATGAGTTATGACAAAATCACTTTCTTAATTTCGCCTAATGATTATTAAAAAATGTCTCTCATTCTGGTATCTCATATAGTTAACACAAATTTGATATCAATTCACATAAACTATCGATTTCCTGATGGCATATCCGGTATATTGTTGCACCTTTAGAAAAACACATATAATATTCCTAATCCAATAATATACACCTCTCATTCTCAAAATGTTAATTTAATTTTTCGATCTGAAAAGCCATGATCCCCCTGCAATTAGGTATTATTCCTGATGATTGAATTGTGATATGGAACTCTTGAAATACGAATAGCAGGAACTCGGTATCGATACGGGGTAACTGGTAATTCGTAGGCTGATTTGCAGTGAAAATTGTCATATACAGGGTCGCTGATATGTATGGGAACAGGTGACTATCTTGGTAACCTGTTGTTAGAATTTATTAAATTCATGTACAGTGTGATTTCAAAACGTGGTGGATTTGAAAATGTTATAGCCAATGTTGCCACTTTTTTAGATATTCCGGATTTTTTTGTAACTTTTCTCTTATGAATAAAACACCCTGTACTTTATTGGATTATCTGATTCTGATTGAAGAGCTGATTCTATCGATCTATCACACTTGGGGTCTAGCGGAAATGATTACATAGGTATAGCGTGTTTAAAATCTTCAACTTCAGGATTTTTTTGTGTCGAAACAATCAATTTTATTATCGATCAAAACCGCTTCAATGTTCCTATCTTTAATTTTGATTTACTATCTACTGACATTCGATTGGACCAGATACAGAGGGTGATCAGAGCTCTGAATCTTGAACCACCCTGTATTTGTTGCAATTAAATGTCAGTAGATAGTAAATAGGAAGTGAAGATAGGAACTTTGAAGCGGTTTTGATCGATAATGAATAGTTTCGACACAAAAAAATCCTAAAGTCGAATAATCTAGACTCCAAGTGTGATTGATCGATGGAATCAGCTCTTCATGGACAATCTGAAATTCCAATGAATTACAGGGTGTTCTATTCAAAAAAGGAAGTTAATAAAAAATCCGGAATAACTGAGAAAGTGGCAACATTGACTATAACATTTTCAAATCTGCCACTTTTTAAAATCACAAAGTGATAAAATTCAAAGAAATCATGATTACATATAATCAATTGAATATCAATGAAGATCGCAAAATCGGCTCAAAGAAAAGTATTGGGGAAATTGAACATACGCTTGCCTATGGGGGCTTAGAACAGACATCTGATATTTTAGATACCTACAAGGTGTTGAAAATATGATGTTTATACAAATTTATAACGATCATGTCGAAATTACAGTAAAATTTTGTATGTATATATTTTGAAAGCTGACACATCACATGAATATGTTTTCATATCTGACTCTCATAGAAGACGCTATTACACGGTTCGCACCGAGTCGAAACATATTTTTTAAGGTTAGGTTTTCTATTACAAATCCAATGTGAACTTGAACATCATTCAGTTTCAAACCAGGAAGGTACGCCTAGGTAAAACTGTACTTATATTATGTATCGTTTTCGTAATATTTTCATTTGAAAATGATGAAGTAATTACTGATGCTGATATAAAGTGAGCAAAATCACTCACTGACAATCGATTGGATTTTCATTTTAGGTTTTCTTATAGCAAAATGTTCAAACTCATTGACATTTTGGAGCAAATCATCTGATACGACATTTTTGTTCTGAGCAAGCCCAACATATTTGCAGTATTCTAATAATCCAGCAACGAGGACACCTTCTCTGAAACACCTTGTATAATCTATCAACAATTCAAAACAGCTCTCGCATAATAACCACCTAACTAGGTTGTCATTTAGAACGACAATGATTCAAATCAGCGTAGTACCTTACAGGAAATAATTTCGTATTTTATTATAATTTACGAGACAACTACGCATTTTTTACAACGCCCCAATATTTTTTCTCTACAGTTGAATGCATGCTGAAATGTATGTTACATTCATTTATTTGCTCGCATGATAACATTTTAATGTAGATTACCGTTGCCGTGCAGCTGCATAACAATTTTATAATTCAATGTCCGTCCTATTTTCATTGCAAATTTCCTGGTAATCTCTCTCCACTGGGACTCGATTCGCTATTCAACGGGAAAATAGTGGTATTTAATTTCACCATCACCTCATCACACATGATGAAAATTGATATTACTGTCGAGACCAATGAGAGAAGTATTCGTGCAATTAATCTAACACTTTGTAAAATTGGTAATGGTTGGGGAACATAATATAGTAGGTGTTACTAAATTTCATGTCGATAGGGATCGTGGATCAACTGATCAAAAACGCATTCAGAGAATACTTATCCTTATCCTACTCCCAATAACTCGCGAAGTTTTAACAGCAGAAGCATATGAATTCGAGATCTTTCTTGAAAATGGAGATTTTCTCAACCCTGAAAACAAGCGAAACGTTCTAGTTATTCCTCCTCACTGTAATTTTCACCTGATAGTTTGCATACAGTGATGACTTCAGGCTGTATACACTGAGTATAGGTAACTTAAAAAAAAAACGATAGAGCTTCTGCTGGAGTATTGACTATTCGAATTCGAACGATATTATAAATCCTGCCGAATCCAGGATTATCTTGATTTGAATTTGACCATCGTAAAAGAGTTATAATGATGAACAATTCCCGAAAATGTTTAATTATTGCTATTTACCATACCACATTTCTTCTCATCTTGAACGAAACAAATACTGAAAGACAAATCATTAGCCTGATATATTATTCTTGTGAGTGTCTTTTTATGGAAATCCTAAAATTCGGTAATATAGGGTGTCGGAGTTAGGAATACTATACCCTGTATGTATTTATCTTTTCCAACAGATGATGAATTATGAATAAATTATTGACTTGTGTCAGGAGTACTGATACTATCAATACTGATTCGGCGTAAATTTTAATTGATTTATCATATTACGAACGTATACTCGAATGCTTAGTTGATATTCCACTGGTATTTCATTTCGTTATAGTTATAATTATGTTTCACAAAAATGCGATGATACTCTGAGCTCTGTATGAATATCATGTGAATGTAATATTTCCATCAATATAAACGCTTAGGTCTCCATTAAAAACTTTCACAGAACCTTCCAATAAAATTAGTTATGAATGGTTTATATAGATTCAATCCGAAATATTACATTGTTCCAATCTATACAATCGATGAAATCATGACAGAATTGAAGATCTGCCGAAACCTCTGAATCGTGACAGGTCAGAATTGTATATTGTTTAACGAGCACCGAATGGTAGTGATTTCCCACGAGAATGAAGTTTGCAGCATGAGCCGTATAAAAATCCTTCAAGACTCTGTTGAATCTGAAAGCAACATGTCAAAAATCTCAATCGAAAACAGCGGTTATTTTTATCCCTAACCACGTCAATATGATACGCTTCTGACGAAAACTCTGACATTTCGACCTCAGAACCTAATTTGGCGCTGGAAGTTTGTGCAAGTTATGAAATCCTAATAATTCACTACAAGCGGTTTCGAATAGATTCACGAGAACTTGTCTTCATGACGCCGATGCATCGATATAAAAAATTGAAATTTTCTTGACAAACTACCCTCAAATCATCTAGTACGGTACACCCCTGATTGGAGTTTTGAAATTATGCGCTCAAACATTGATTCAGCATCAAAAATCCATGCGGTATAACACATTTCATGTTTATTGAATGAACGGTTTCGTAAATATCGAAAAAAAGAAGCAAAAAGCAAGAATTTTTCGATATATTTTTTCAAAAATACCTCAGGAATTGCCCCACAAATTTTCCACCGATCTTCAGGAAATACCCTGTATATTGAAGTACTACTAATATTATCATTTATAGAAACAAGCAAGAAAAAAATCTGGCATACTGAATGTTCCATACCTTCATGATTGAGAAACATAAAGTAAGATTCGCTGTTATTCATTTTGTAATGATTCCAAGGGCCATGATGATGTATTCACAATAATGAATGGTCTTTATAAAATGCAAAGAATTCTCGAGCTCTGAACAGTTCCAAAACCATGGATTATCACTTATAATCTTCCTATAGCAGCATAATCATGACCGATATTTTTTTTAAGGTCACGAATGTGTGAGCATGAGTGAAACCGACAAAAAAATCATCCGGAATTGATTCTGCTGTGTGGGAGATTCGGTAGAAAAATTTCATAAATTGGAGCTGCTTTCAATATGATGAGGAGAAGAACCCTATGACATATTCATCGTAGATCTCGAATAAAATTTGACACTTAGGTATTACACGTTCTCAATACCAAAATGTAGAAACATTTAATCACAAATTTATTATCTGAAATCCAATGTCTTTATAGTTTCAAATTCAAATAAAACTTGAAAAAAAAACATACATCTGATAGGTTTAGTTGAATATGACGCACTATATTTCCACAATAAAAGTTGATTAGTAATCAATGTGTATTATTTGAATTCCAGGAACATCAATAACATTACTGAGTGACTTTTGCGAATAGATATAAGACATATCATTTTTATCAGAAAAATAATCACTTATCGATTTCATTAAGCTGAAAGAAACTGAGAATTTATGGAATTTCCCCAATAATAAATGCTCTCTATAGAACTCTAAGGATCCTTGTGATCTGAACAGTTCCAAAACCTTGGATCATCTCACAAATATTTTTCCAGGTGGCAAGATGGTGTTACCAATGCGGCCATCTCTGTTCATGACATAAATCTACCAACTGACTAGTAAAACATATCGAATTTTGTACTCTCGATTCGCAACCAATTAGCTTAGACGTCAACGCAAACCACACACAAGAAGAAAGGAGACAGCTCGCCAGCAGAAGCATCTTGAAATGGGAAGCACTTCGTCCAAATTCAAGAAGTACCTACAGCATGGAGATGAATTCGCTGCTATGCAGATATACCAGAGTTCGCCGGAGCTCAGGAAAAATCTGGATCCGAACCTGAGCTACGGAGAAAATCATAATCACAATACTGCTCTACATTATGCTGCCAAACACGGTGAGATCTTTAGACCAGGACTAGATATCAAGAGATTGTATTGTACAGGCTGTCCCATTTTTGTATGTCCTTACGAGATATCTCACTTATTTTCAAAGATAGAGATTTACGGTTCTTGCGGACGTTGGCTACTTTCTTGTGAATCTCACGATACCGCAAACGGGATTTTCATAACTCGTTCGTTTTCGACATACAGGGTGAAATTGAAAATGTTGCATTTTGGAACATATCCTTCAAAAAAGAAGATATTGACGTGAATCTAGGAACATTGTGTTAAGATGGGACGAAAAAGGATCAATTTCGATTCAAAATATGATGGAGCAGAATGTTCTATCCCATTTGGCCTGTAGATGTCATATCTTGAATCTCAGTTATGAACAAAGTTTATACTTAATCTCATTCCCAATGAATTTTTCTATAACATAGACCATAGTTTTATTTGACTAGGCCGTTATTTGACAAAATTCTTAATCACACAACTGGTCATTGTATAGTTTATCCAAAAAAAAATTGCAGAATCTTGTGCCGCACCTGCAGTCACTTCAAAGAAAACTTCAAACACGCCGACGCCGCACAGTGCGGGATATTCTGCAATTGATATTGGATATACTTTACCAGTATATCACCTAACGAAGCTACTCTGCTAGCGAAAAATATTATGTGTTTAAGAATTTTGTGGAAATCTTATCGTTTGTGAAGTTCTTACATGGACCATAATATTCGAACTTTGATCTTCAAAGAGGGTGAAATATTACAGGTGGAGTACCCCATTTGTCCATCAGTTCATTTCCCCCCATCTAGAAGCATGTGAGGCATTCCATGAGACAACCCATTTACTTCTAATGACCTCACCAACGATTATTTACAGGTATGAAGCATTTGCTTAGGACCTTTCTCAATGACCTTGGTGGTAACCCGAACAAGAAGAACGGTCTCAACGAGACTGTCTTGCATGCCGCTTGTCAACTCAACCAGACTAAAAGCTTCAGCGCTCAGGAGCGAAGAGCAGCTTGCGTCCAGCTGCTTCTATACTGGAAGGGGGTCGCACTCAATGATGGGGGACGGGAGAAGGTTGATTTAGCTGCGCAAGAAAGAGTAAGTTTGTTTCTTAGTGTTCCTGGATGTGTCACAATAAGTTTCTGTGAAAGTAGATTCATAACCCATTGATGACAAAATCTACTATACCAGCAGAGCAACGAGATAAAGAATACGTGGGGATGTGTGTGAGAGAGTTTTTTTCTTTGCTATTCACCACTCACTATCGAAGCCTAACTAACAACTTAAGGTCTACCCACTACAGAGTGTTCAATGTAACTGTCTGGGAATATTATGATGTTAATATGATAGTACGAGTCAGCATTGTAATTGATTCAGAATGGATCCAACCTAGACTCAGAAAAGTATTGTATACAGTATCAGACTTCAATTCCATAAAGTGGAGGATGTTGTTCACCATTCCAGGGTATGATATAGCACCTTTTCATTGAATGAAACCCACTCTCTCGAACAAAGTCTCGTGCATGCATAAGGATTATCTGATCCTTTCATTATCTACATCTCATTCAATTGTTTTTTGAATAACAGTGGCACATGATATGCCGTCATTGGAAAACAGCGGACAAAACTTTTCCTCTTAATTTATCTTCAAATAGTAGAGCGATAAGATCTCGAGCACGCTATATTCGAATAAAATGGCCGAGGAGGTTTTTTGTTGCTAATTGAAATAGGTCATCGATCACGATACGATGACACAACATAATATGCTTTATCAAGGAACACATCTCTTTCTTATCCTTTCATTGTCTTTCTTTCACGTGCTGCAAGGTTGGGCTGTGCTAGATTTTCACTATATTCCACGCACAGAAAAATGATTTTATACCAATAAAATTAGGTTTGTTCAAACACATAACGACATATCAAACACATTTTTTCCTTATTTCCGATTTGATTCCCATCCATTTCGATCTGAGAAATTTGATGTAGCTATTCAAATAAGTAGTGGAAAGAAGGATGAAAACCGCTATAAAAAGAGCGCTTATAGCACACCATTCATGATTCGGCGAACCTACAGAGTGATTCAAAAGTAAGCGGCATCCTTTCAGGGGCGTATTCTTTGCATGAAAATAAGCCAAGAAGTTCCTTTTAATAAGGGTCCGAAAATGCTTCCCAAGGGAGCTATACACCTCTTTGAAAAGGACACCTCAAAGACGATTATCTCACTATAACTTTGAAATCCTTCACAAAAAATCCTCTAAAATTGGTATACGGCATGAAGATTTGATGTTGAATGAGAATCTGAATTCAAAATTCCGAAATTCAGTTCAGGGGCATCTCATGCGGGGGAGGAGATGTGTAAAAACATCCCTTCTTCTTTTGTTAATCAGGTTATTGTGATTCCGTTTAAAAATCATAATATTCTGCAGTTTTTCACGTTAAAAAGGTACTCCTAGTTTCATTTCGATAGAGCATACCATTCAGGAGAAAATTGACTTTCTGATTTGCGTAAATCACAATGACCTGAATATCAAAGGAAGGAGGGATGTTTTTACACTAACCGTCCCCCGCAAGTGATGCCCCTGAATGGAATTCTGGCATGTATGAGGGGACAACTAGATCTCCAGATCTAACTTGCTTAGATTCATATTCATTACAAACGGCTCGGCAGCGTTTCGAAGTTATGGGTTTGTTTCGAATTTTATAACAAATTGTTTCAATCTCCCTTTGTTTCAGGAGGGAAATACTGCTTTACATTGGGCTGCTCAGACAGGATTGAAACGGTGTGTGGAATTACTGTTGGCCCATGGAGCTCCACTTTTTGTGGAGAACAATGACAGGTTGACACCATGCGATTTGGCCATGAGAGGTTCTTATCACGATATAGCAATGTTACTGGAAAGCAGAATGGTTTTCGTGAGTATTTTTTCATAACCGACCTCATCAACTGACTTTTAAACAGTGAGATGTTAATCTGACGAATTTTTTTTTCTGAATACAAATGTCCTAGATCCTTTTATATGGATATTGTTTTCGTCATGTCGTTTGGAGAATTTATTCGAGAAGGAATAGACATGAATTGAATAACTGACCGAAACAACCAAGTACCAATTCAAATATTTTTGAAATTGGAAATTGTTAGAAATCTCCTAAAGTCAGGAAATGAGATTATCACAATCATTGCTAATGATTAAAATCGAGCCACAACCTTATTCACAAAAATTACAAGAGAATATTCCATGTTCATCCTCTACAATCAATAGTTGTTGGTTCGTCTAGGTGTTATGAACATGGAGATTCCGCATATTCTGACCTTCAGCGTTATATTTCAGGCTGAGAACGCTGACTTGGTCAATGAGGATGAAATAATCAACGAGCATGAAGTCTACAGTGGTCTCAGAAGTCAAGACTTGCAAGAAGCCAAAGACCAGCTACTTGTGGATACATCTGATATGCTCAAGATTCCACTGTTCACTGCAGAAGCTCTGTTGAGGAATAATGGTAAGAATGGAAAATACTCAAGTTTCTTCTCATCCCTCATTGTATTGTAGTTAGGGGTGGGAAAAATTATCGATATATCGATAATTATCGATAATTATCGATAATTATCGATAATAATTTGGAGAAAAATTATCGATTTATCGATATTATCGATATTATCGATATTATCGATATTATCGATATTATCGATATTATCGATATTTTCGATATTTTCGATATTTTCGATATTATCGATATTATCGAAATAATCAATAATGTCGATGATATCAAAATTATCGGAATAACCGATATAACCAATGATATAAAAAATATCAAAATGAATGAGCATCAGAAAAATAGGTATTTTTGTTTCTTATATGGAACACCCTGAATAAAACAGATACTTGTTGGTAAGAATTGAAGTAAGAATGAAGAATATAATAAGACACGCCACCCTGTACATCAGCCCTGTTCAAACAACATAGGACTCCAGCACAGCAACTTGCATGAAGCTATCTGACATCTGGCAACGTGGCAACCCTTATTAGTTGTGGTGGCAAACTTATTGGTTAGTTATGTGTTGAACGAGTAACAAGTATCAAGTAAGGTGGGTTATCTAATTATATGGAATATTTTTATTTCATCATTCGATTGCTCATTCCTTGAAAAATAACATAATGACAAAATGGCTTTGTTTATTATACCTACGTAGAAACCAGAAAGTAAATATAAAAAATTAGTTTTATAAAAATACCCTTGTCACGACTAGAAGTGGGAAAAATTATCGATATATCGATAATTATCGATAATAATTTGTAGAAAAATTATCGATATTATCGATAATATCGATAATATCGATAATATCGATAATATCGATAATATCGATAATATCAATAATATCGATAATATCGATAATATCGATAATATCGATAATATCGATAATATCGATAATTATCGATAATATCGATAATATCGATAATTATCGATAATATCGATAATATCGATAATTATCGATAATATCGATAATATCGATAAATCGATAATATCGATAGATTATGATTATCGATAATCGATATTTCAAAATCATTATCGCCCACCCCTAATTGTAGTGCTATATAGCAAAACTTTGAAATTGCACAATAATTAGGTAGATATTTGAAATAAGTGAACAAAAATACAACTGAAGTTGCAATGCACTTCCACCTCAGCATAATCGGCAATTCCAATTATCAGAAGATAAAGTAGAACCTATCTTGAACCATTATTGAGTCAACATCAAACTATCACCACCACCAAAATCAACACTACACTCTTATGGCTGATTAACGTAGCTGTTTTGAGTCTTAAGTCATCACGAGAAACACTCTCCTTCATAGGGAAATTTGGCATGTTGTATCAATTTCAGCCATAATCAATGAGTACTAAAGAAAAAACCATTTTGGTCTACAACAAAGAAATCATTCAAAAAGTACTAAAGAAAAACCAGTGTAACATAAAGTCGACCGAATTTGTATTACACAGATTTTCCTTTGAAGTAGTTTTGGACCACTTCGAGAAGTATGAATGGTTTCCATGACTCAATAAGTACTTATTTTGGAATCGATTTGATGAAAATAAATATGAACAAACCTTCAACATTTCGGGAAGTGGAACACGGCACATGCGTGAAGTAGATTAGGCATATGTGACAAGTTTTGAGTCTTAAGAAATCAATGTTGAACAATGTCTTATAAATATCAATAGTTTTTTCTACTGAAGATCAATGACTTCTCACTTATCACTTACAACTTGAGACTTATTGGGACTTGGGACTGAAACTGTTGAATGAATCGACCATTAAAATTGACTCAAAATTCTGACAATTCAGTGAAAAACGTATCATTTTTCCTATTCATTTTGTATCCGCGATAAAAAATAATTATACTATCCATGTAGCAATACTTTTTCAAAGCTGCCCAACTGGTATAATTCATATTGATTGATTTTCAGCGAGCTGAACAAGTTGTTCATTGTAATTAATTCCTATAATCAATGTTCATTGTTATAAATACGTGTGTAGGTAGTAGAGATCAAAACAACATATGGAAAATAGATGAAATATATATCTTTACCATATTGGAGAGAACAGATCGATTATTTCAATATTGCCACTAGCCACTAATACTAAATGCAATGAGCAAAAACAACGCACTTTCCCGATACACAACACATCAGTCGACACGAATAAACAAACGAACAATGATTATTGCCATAGCACCACCTATATTCACGTGTTACTTCTATCTTCTATCGCAGATACTTCATTCAAATAACATGTCGCATTATGATATCTTCGTATTCACGAATAAAAATATATCGTTGATTTCACGCATTTTCTTTCAACTTACACTGAAAATACATGCCATCTCATCATGTAATGAAAAAAAAATCATATATGGTCAATTTGAGTGTATACAGGGTGTATCTAAATAACGCCGAAAAAATTCAAGGGGTGATTCCTTGTGTTCATATAAATATGTGTCCTAACATGGTCCTAACTTGCACCGTTTTTTAGATACAGGGTATCAATATCTCCATGAGAAATCACACGTGCATATGAACTTCATTTCCTAGAATATCACGTGGAATCCCCCTATGAATTTTTTCGGTTTTATTTAGATAAACTCTGTAATGATTGAGTATTTTTGGGTTCAATGATAAAAACAGAAAATTATTATATGTCTGGTCATTTGTAGTTCAATTTGAAAGTCATTTTTATGCTGCCACCAAAATTTACAATCAAATTGAGCTTATGGCGACGGCAATATTGAAATATATCAATCATTTGGAATTAAACAACAAAATGTCTTGTATATATTTTTCACTGTGGATAATATAATTCCTCTCATCTACCTAAACATGTACTTTCTGGAAAATTCCGTAAAATTATTTAGTAGGACAAACACGATGGCACCTTCTCCAATATTACAGTTAACTGTAACTTATGGAGAATGCGCCATTATGGTGAATCGGCAATGAGAGGAAAAAAACAGGTTTTTATCTTGAATTAAAGACAGAAAATTATTGGTTGATGAAGCTGCTGCTTGTAACTTTAGTTATCTCAGATGGACTAATCATAATAAACAGCATGTTCAAATGAAATGTAATTACAAATCTGAATTAACCACAGATACTCAACAACAATTTCAAGTTAAACCACGAAAGTCTTGGTGACAATTGGAAGCTGACGAAGAGTTCAAAAATCCAATATCAGCATTTTTATTCGATATCATCGGCTTGGATATAGAAATCACTTAGACTTTCGAGTCAAGTATAGTTTGACATTCTCTGAGGCAGAGAAGAGAATATAAATAAATATAAAACGGGTCAAAATAATATACCCATCACACTACCAAAAAAAAATGGTACCTACTGTAACAAATAACAAATATTATCTTGGCCTTCAATTCATATAGAACTCTAATAGGTTGAATGAATGCTAAGCGAATGACAGTTCATTGATGAATACAAAATGGAGACTGAAAGAATATATTTATTAGTAACATATGTATTATAATGTATAATTTCCGATTAAATAGCACTGAGCAATAATTGGCGTAATAGTTGGATTGATCATGATCCAAAGAATCAGAATTCACCAATAACAAATTCTTCATTGAGTACCTACTATCATCAAATGAGAAACGAAACTAGTTATTATTTCCATAAATGAGCTATTTCAATGATGAATTTGGCTTCGGAATCATGAAAGAATGAAAGGATAACAAGCATCGAGAATAATAACTGATATTTTTCTTTCTGTCAGATGGATAGTTATATTGAGGCAAGATTCCACGTATACTAGGCAGTTCCTAATGGCCAAATAATGTTTGAGAAATACTTGACTTTCCACTCGTAAATCTAATAGTCAAATCCTTTATTCTTCCATTCTCCCTATAACTATATTCATGCAAGGAATTCAATATCGTTTGTTTGAGTTCAGAGAAAGCGGCGATCAAAGAATTGATTGAGTTGTCGGCATTTTCGCTTGGTTTCGTCTTATTTAATCGAATTTCCAGAATGGTCCAGAGAGCTTTTACTGGAAAAGTGGATGAAAGATCCGGGAGAGTGCTGCCAGTTAGCAGGAGTTCAAGCACCTTCAACTGTTCTACACCACGCCTCCTCGATTGAGTCTAGCATTTCTACTGAAACCAACACAGTGGGAGATGTAGACATAATGGTATGGATTGAAATTTCGAAACAAGCAGTTTTCAGAGAAAATGTTTCGCGATACCTCCATGAAATGTTAAACTTTCCTTATGATAATTGGCAAGAATACAAGTTTCTGGAAAAAATACTATAACGTTCGTCAAGTTGAAATAAGGCACAAAGATTTTTATTTGAAAATTCAACGTGCCAACCCTCTATTGGCATTCAAGAAACATCGATAAGTAATTCACTATAATCAGTGAGATGAACAGCGTTGTCGTCTCAACTGAAAATCTGTATTCCGAAATGAAAAATCAAACATACAGTGCTGTGATTTGGAACACGTTCTCATGGTTCCCATCAGTAATTGGCAGCAGTTGATCAGCTGGTGAAATTTAAATATTATTCTCAGCGTCACTTAATTTAATAACAGACATTTTATGATTATTATCAATTTATTATTGATGAGACAAGGCCTAATGTTTAAAAATCAACGTAAATGAATGTGAAATTCCTTCCCCCTCGAAAATAATGACAGTTCACTGAAGCCACACTACCTCTCGATAGTCGATAGTAATGAATTTTTTCGATTTCGGAATGAAAATCAGCAGACCATATCTACGCTCGGTATTTCCATCAGCAACACTCTTTCATGGGATAATCATGTCAGATCCATCGCAAGAGCTGCTTCACAAAAACTCGGATTCTTGTTCCGTGCGAAAAGCGACTTTACACCTCAACAGCTCCTCATGATCTATAAAGCGCAGATACGGCCTGTTCTAGAATACTGTTCCCACATATGGGGTTCAGCACCAAAACATACGCTGATGCTCTTAGATTTCATCCAGAGCCATCCACCTGGTGGGTGACGCCACACTCACTCACTCTTTGACATCATCGGAACACCGTAGAAAGGTCGGCGACCTTTCACTTTTCTATCGATACTTCCACGGGAAATGTTCTTCGGAACTCTCTGATATCATCCCTTCACTAGCAAGTCTAGTTAGACGAACTAGACAAGCCCAGTCAGCACATTCTCTCGTTGTCAACCTCGAAAGATGTCGAACAGCACTTTATCAAAACTCCTCCATCCATAGAACGGCTAGGCTCTGGAATTCATTGCCTGGAATATAGCCCATGATAAAACCTATTTTGGTGACATTTACTACTCCAGTTAATATCGAATCGAATCTCGATAGTTTACAGTCACTTGATATTTTCCTAATATAAATTACTGGCAGCACAAGAAAAGTGATTATGACGTTATGTTTGAATGTTCAATGAAATTGTAGGGAATTCAAGGGTGATTTTTCAAGAAGACAAAGTACATCAAAAAAATCATGTATTCATGTTATAACTTTATATCTCAATGATATGCACACTTAAATTGATTTATCGCATATTTTTCTGTTGAATCAGTATACAGTAATAAAAAACTTGAGAAAATCCTGTAAGAACACGAAATGACAAAATATTTTGTACGCGCTTTCGGCTCGCAAGAAAATACTACCAAACTCTTATTGTCACGAAAATATGAACGACTTCTCGATCGATTTAGGTTTATTCAGACACCAGAAATCCCTCGAGGATAGATAGCCGCATTTGTAAAACAATTTGTAATATCACTTTGAATAATTTCAATAAGACGATTAGGTATTAAATATTTTTTCGTGGTCGACAGACTTTGAGACTTTCATTGTTTTTTCTTATAAAGACGATTATTGCCTAAAATCGTATTTGATATCATTAAAATGAGTCATAATATGTTTCACTCATTTGAATGAAGAGCAAAATTATCACGTCTATGCTCTCGCATAAAAGTATAATTTCTAGTGTTGAACCTGCCTGTCGCCCATTCCTGCCACCAACCTCCGACCTGTCAGCGTCTCTTGCAAGCAGTATTTCTGCCAGTCCTGCTGACGGCACTTATTCCAGATTGAAACCCGGAATTGAGAATGAAATCACATGTGCGGTCTAAGCGCTCAATCAAACGTATTATTTCCAGTGCGGAATCTGCCTGTCGGCTATTCCTGCTACCGACCTTCGCCCTGTCAGCTACTTTTAAGTCCAGGACTAAGCATATAGAATAAATAACATGTTGGGTAGGTTTATCAAGAATAATAAAGACAAAACTCCTAAATTCGAAAAATCAGGGGTATACAAACTGAACTGTGGATCATGTCCTGAGGTATATATTGGTCAGACAGGTCGTACGTTCAATCACCGCATCCATGAACATAAGATGAATGAAAAAGAAAACAAATTCAACATACGCCAACCATATATTAGAAGAAAACCAAAGTTTTGATGATAATTTCGGAATTCTACACGTAGAAAATAAAGGGCTGAAACTCAATCATTTTGAATCATTAGAAATCAACAAACTCAAAAATTCTGACATGTTACTTAACGATCAATTAGACTTCAATAGTTCACCACTGTTGAATTTGTTGTCTTAGTAGTTAATAATATGTATTTGATATCAACCCTTTCAAGTTAATCCCGTACACCGTATTTTAATGTAGATATTGTGCCTAATTTCCGAAAATTGAGGCTTATCGAACCTGTCCAAAGGTAACTTATCCTTCAGGCTGGGGCTTTAGGATATATAAGCAAGCCAATAGTTATTTAACCAACTAGTGTATTAATGAGGGCGATTATTGATCGAGATATTTTAACGTGCGAGCGAAGCGAGCGAGTTAATGTTCGAGATCATTAATCACCTTTCAATATACAAGTTGGTTACAAAATTTTTCCGTCGACTATATTTCTCATTTCTCCTGCAATGAAGAAAACTTGGTTCGCGAATTCATCATTCACCCAGTAGCCTTGTTACTGGCATTAGTGACATTTGACATTTGTCGAAATGATCAATATAGAAAATGAATTCCTTGTGTTAGAAAACAGGGATTGAAATCGTATCAGAAACTTGGAAAGGCGAACCCGTTAACGGAAAATCTTCGATGAAATCCATATTTTCGATTTAAATGCAGATTCCGTAAGTTATTGCATAAACAATGAATGCACGCGGTGTATGTTTGGTTGCCTATAAAACAATCGTGCACTAATAGACAAATCGTTCATTAATAGGGGTCATTAATGAACGATTTCATATACATTAAACTTAGTCGTTAATACGAGGTCGACGGAAATGTTAGTTTAGTTAATCGTACCAGTATATCACCTGACGATGCTACTATGTTAGCGAAACATGTCGTGTGTTTGAGAATTTTGTGGAGATCTCATCGTTTGTGGAGTTTTCACATTAAACATATATATTCCAGTGCGAAATCTGCCTGTCGGCCATTCCTGCTACCGACCTTCGCCCTGTCAGCGTCTCCTGCCGGCACTCGTTCTGCCGGTCCTGCTGGCGGCGCTACTTGGAGACGCGGATCCTAGATGGCGACGCGCACCACATCCTCTGCCCCGCTTACCAGTGCCACATCCTGGTACCCGTCGAGTTAATAGAGAGGCTGGTCACTCCGGAGATGGCCAGGAGGTACCTGCAGTTCGATATCAAGGTAAACGAAAATCCACTCCCCAGAAGTTGAGATATGTGCGGGAGTTTTTTTTGTCGAGGTGGTTGGAATCCTTCAAGGTCATCAAGTTCCCTATTTCATAGTGTAGGAGTTCCCTGACTCTAGAGTATATATACCCACTAGTCCAGTGTTGCCAACTTAGTGGATTTCACACTAGAACTGGTGTTTTGGGTTCTCGTTTTGTGACAAAATATGGCATCTAGTGAATGGTGTTTATTTTGGTGAATTTTTTCAATTACATGGTGACATCTGGTGGATGAGGACGCATCCGAAATGTCCCTTGTTTTATTTAGCTTTTGCGATTCACTTCAACCGTTCCGATCTTATTCAATATTTTTTGTGAATAATGCGTTCTCACGCACTTTTTTTAAATATCGCCTGGCACTTCCTAAGCACATTTTTAAGACAATCTTGAATATCTTTTGATAGGGAGACCGTCTATTTGCTATTAGGTTTCACCTTGCTGTGCCCCATTGGATTTGGTGAAATTTGAGATTATATGGTCTCTCAAGAGACCTTATATAATTCGATTCTTCCGAATGACACTACATATATATTTCATTACTCAGTGTTATGGAGCGTATCCTTTCACATCTCTTTATCATTCATGGATTTTTTCCGAAGATTCATTGGTCAGGAGATAATTCACATTGTTAATGAACACGTAATTTTGATATTCAGAGTGGCATGAAAAATAAATTATGACAAAAACTTCAATGTCAAAGTAACCTACGGACGTAGTTGGTCAGTTTGAGGATAATCCGTGAACATCTATGAAATCCATTGAAAATAATGTCAGGATTAGCTACTGGGAGCATAAGTCTTGATTAGACTGTTATCAACTGGAATTTAATATTTTTTTTTCATTTTCTCTCATTTTCTCTCTTTTCTCTCGCTTCTCTCGTGTTGATTTCTCTCGTCTCGTCTCGTTTCTCGTGAACTCCTCTCTCGTCTCGTCTCGCCCCAAAATTTTAGAGAAAAAAGATCTCGTCTTCACGAGACGAGACGAGACGAGAGACGTGGATCTCTTGTCTCTGCAGCATCACTAGTGCGTACCTATAGGGAGGATAGGGAGAGGTGGTAATAGGTATTGGAATTCTCGAACTATCAAAGATTATAAGTTCTTCGTAATACTTTTTATCACCTGTATGAAGGAAATATCATCCAACTGAGAATGAAGCAACTACAAATATAATTATTAGAGGAAGATAAATCATCATTCATAAATGATATTAACTATGAGTTTCATTCACTGAGTCGTATCGTCATTTATGACACAGTTGAAAGAATTAGGTATATTACTTCTTGCAACTGTGTTTATGATGAGCATCGATATGTTACCTGTATATATCTTGTTCCCACATATTTGCGCCGTATATATAAGGGTCCATAGAAAAAGGTACCGGCTTTTGGCCGACTTGGAAAACAACTTTGAAGGAATTTACCGATATGAGTCCACTATTTCAATGACGCTTCAGTTTTCCATTCACTTCTGAGACACTGAGAAACACCCTGTATATCACTGTTATTCATCATTGACTGAGCACGTATCTGTATCACCCACTCGTCAAAGAACAAACAATCAACGTTCCAGTCTAGCTAATCTAACGTTTTTCTACTCATTGGCATTTATTGCCTCTTCAGATCCTCCCATCAACAACATCAATCCGACTCTTTGGGGTGCAGAACCTATCCATTATGTTAATTTCAGATAAGGGTATACGATGAAGGAATTGGATTCTTGATCCTGTGAAATTGAACGATTCTCGTTATTGTATATCCAAAGTCAATTGGAGCATCTCAAGCATCGCACGGTATCGGCGGATTTGAAGTTTCTTTTGAAGTGTGTACACGTGCGGCTCGAAGAGCTCCAATTGACTTCAGGATGAACTATACCAATATTTTATCAAGAAGCATATCATTTTCCTAATACCAACACAAATCTTTTTTTTTTCTATCAGTGATACTACTATTCATAATGAACATCAACATAAAACGGCAGCATAATCATATTAGTGTAAGGTAATACTCAGGCTAGTTCCTCTTTTGATAAGAAACAAGCATGCATTTTCTTTAGAAAAGCCGATCCCACTGTGCCCAACATAAGCTTGTCAGGAGTAACCATACCTTCGAAGACATCTTGGGAAAATCTCGTGAGATCAATTGTTGAAAATGAATCCCAAAAACTTGGTTTCCTGTTTCGGGCCAGGAGCTATTCCACTTCCAATCAGCTGTTTATGTTCTATAAGGCACAGATACGATCTGTCCTGCAATTCTGTTCCGATATTTGGAGTGCAGCACCCAAACATACCCTGAAACTATTGGATTCTGTCAAAAAAAGGGTTATTCGTCTCGTGGCTGATACCTCGCTCACAAACTCACTCACTTCTCTGGGACACCGTAGAAAAGTTGGCGATCTGGCTCTATTCTATAGATATATTCATGAACAATGCTCTTCTGAAATATCAACAATTGTTCCTCCCTTGGCAGTCCCCGCGAGATTAAGCCGTCGAGTTGAGGCTTCGCACCCCTTCGTGGTCACTTTGGAGAACATTTCTTCCCAAAGACTCTTTCATACAACGAACAGCGAGGCTCTGGAACACATTTCCAAGGGGGGTGTTCCCCAAAGCATATAACCTCCAGACATTTTAAAAGAAGACCAATTTCTACCTCATTTCCCTTGGCTCTCACGATGTTCTCCGAACATTACAGGATATCCCTTTTCGTGGAAGCCAGAACATAAAAATTAACTCTATGTCATGAGACATAGAAGTTTTCAGACCTAGAAGACGACAAGGAACTATCTCCTTCAATATATACAGGGTGTCTCCTTATATTTTGACTACTGCTTTAACTATACGAGGTCGAAAAAACTCCAAATATGAAAGTTGTAGGGTTCCATCTGTACTATTTTTTGTCACTCCTGAAATAAACAAATGCGACTCGCGAAATAGAAAAATAATAATCTTTTGTAGAAGTCCATGGTTTCTCGAAGTTGAGTGAAGTAGTAACTACTAAATAATACTCGAAATCATCTGCACGACATTTTAATATGATCAATAACGATCAAATCAATTGGTAATATTCATGTCCACTCAGCCTAATGAAATTACTACATTTCTGTCCTAGAATGAAAGTGAAAGCACATAAAATTGTGTGGAAATGACTTTGAGCTTTTTTTATTTATTTGAATATTCCTATTCGTTCTCGAGATATTGGCATGGGTTCAGGGGCGGCGAGTGCATGGGGGCATCGGGGCCAATGCACCCATGTAGGCAGTGGGTATGGGTGCAATGCACCCATTGGCCGAAACAGACGTATAAAAAAACAAATTAGATACGGGCGAAATGAGCACTTGTAAATATTGCACATTGTTGCTGGACAAGTATAGGTAAACAACCATGCGAACCGTATATTCGATTCATGTGCATCCAGGGTTTGACACTGTGCACTGTGCAGATATTCCGATTTAAATTTTAGACATTATGACATCACAGGTTACATGGGCCAGTTTGGAAAAAAATAGAAGTGGCTAATGAATCCATTGATAATACAGTCAGTAGGAATACCTTTGCAATAAATTTACTTTGGTTACTTGCTAATTTTTTCGAATCCCGAAGTTTCTCTATTCCATTTTTTGAGATATGAGAATTATTAAATCTTATTTTATTTTTGTAGAGATTGAATTTTCTAATATCGTTTTAAATTTTGAGTTATGTTCACTTTTTTCAATGGTGAAAAAAAAATTCTTCTATTTCTCATCCTTGTTCATATTAATATATCAACCATAAACTCGAAACCCGATTAGTCAAAAAATATTATATATTGGTAGAGGTGTTTCACACTTGATGCAAAATAAATAATGCTTTGATCTATCTTGAAATTTGATGGCATTTGACCTTGAACCATGAAAAATTTTCGCCTGCGGCGCATAATTTTGTCTTACCCTGACCCCTGAATTTTGGCACCCATTGGACAAAACAAAACTCGCCGCCCCTGCATGGGTTCAAATCTCATCCTGAAGATACTAACATAGCACAATACGAACCGAGACGATGAAGAATCAGTTCGTTGAAAGGTGAAATAGCTAGTGTGATTATGATGGCAAAGGTTTCAGTCCCTGATATATCATTTCGTAATGAAGAGTGAATGTAACCCTAGGTATTGATTTTGGGTCTGTGATGGGCATCTCGAACTAATGAAACTGGTGCAGCAAATTCAAAATTCATCCAGAGCTACCCGATTCCTGAGTTATTGGAATAATTCATAGAGACCCTGAAATCGTATGTGAGTTAATTAATTCAATAATGATACTCTTTCAGGGCATGCCTGAGCTCTTCTCCCAGATCCCAGATCTTCAGAATTAGGTAATGGAATTCAAATTTCCACCAAAATAAGCAGCAGATTATGATTTTCTCTTAGAGCTTCGTCTGAATCACCATTTCGCGTTGGTGTATAACAAAGGAACTTTGAATAATAGATTCCCAGGACGATGGGGATAACTGGATTATGTAGATTAGTAACGCTGATAGAGACTTTGTCTTTATTCTAGTCGTTCATCATAGACTCCAGTTTGGTTTGGTATGCAATTCGGCAGTCAATAAAAACAACCCACAATTGAGAATCGTCGAGTTGCATAATTCAAGTCAGGATGAAAGAAAACTCTCGAAACTAAAATCTTGACTCTTAGGCAAATACAATTGGAGTTTCAACGATGAATGAATCGATTATTAAACTTCATGCTACACATCTTCTGATTTAGGAATTTTATAAATTTAACAGGGTGTCATTTAGTAGTTTCTTTCCATGGTCACGTGGTATCATTTCAGAGTTTTCAGTATTTTAAGATATACAGGATGGCTGAAATTTGAGTCACATCCCAGGTAGCAGAGAGAGTTCTGAACGACATCCGAATTTGGTTACAAAACTGACCGATTGACTTTAAAAAATGACGTCTTGACGACCTAGAAAAGACGTCAAGA